GCGATCAGTACGGCGAGCTTCTTTAATTCCGCCAAATATACGTCTACTGTCTTGCCAGGTCGTAGACGCCGTGCCTGGAATTGGTCATAGGCCACGAACCGGTCAGTTCCAAATGCGGTTAGTAGAGTGTGCTTTATTTGCTCAATGTCACTTTTCTGTTCTTTGCTCAACTGCCTGTACACAGCAAGGGCGCCGCCTTTCAAGCACAGTGGAAGAATCCGTTCAATCTTCGTGATCTTGCATAATTCACAGACCAGTTCCACCTTTTCGATCTATTCAACCACAGACTGTCCACTCGTATCACCACTGAATTCGGAGATCAGTTTTATGTTGAATGGTCTTTCCGCCATCTTGCTGGAGACAAAGTAAATGCCGAAATAGCTTGTGTTGGAATGTGTCACGAAAAAATAAATGATTTCGTCTCTTTCTCTCCTGCTGTCGTAGCGATGGACACAGTCTCCACTTCTGAGACTGAAAAACTGCCCTCCTTCTCATTCCAGCCCTTTACATAGAGCTTGGTAACTCACCTATGCAAAACACCAACAAGCCAGCTACCAATCACTGTTCCCGCGCCTGCTCACCTCCACTCGCTTTGGGGGTTTCAAGTTGACCGACCAACTCATTACAATATATATATATATATATATGTGTGTGTAAAAATATATAGAAAATAGGAAGGAACTGGTTAGGTAAATAATCCAAAGTTCCTTAGTATTTTAGTTATGAAAATCCTTTTATGTCTGAAAATCTTGAACGTGTAATAAAAAAACACAATAATAAGATCTTGAACAAACCCCCATGCCTGAATAGTATTAATAAAAACCCTGCACTTAAATCAGACAATAAAAGGGAAAAATTGTGTAATTGTAGAAACCTAGAAGACTGCCCATTAGAAAATAAATGCTGCATTAAATCTGTAGTATACCAATGTACTATATCATCCACTGAGAGTCCTAGCACTAATATGATATACATTGGGTCCACGAAGAATGATTTTAAAGATAGATGGAGGCAGCATAAGTGCTCTTTCAATAATATAAATAAAAAGAAATCAGACTTCCTATCTAAATATTTTTGGCATCTGAAGGAAACAAATAGGACACCTAAAGTAAAATGGAAAATTATAAACAGGGCTAGAACATGTAAAACTTGAGATGACCCATGCCCTTTTGTGCCTCCATGAGAAATTGCACATTATTAAGCTTCTAAATAATAATAATCTATTAAACAATAGACATGAGTTAACGGTTTTTGTTGACATCATCAGATTCATGGTTTGAATAATTAGCTAAAAACAAGCATACAATATAATAACTCGATTAATCCATAGCCCAATCATCAGATTCATGGTTTGAATAATTAGCTAAGAACAAGCATACAATATAACTTTCATAATCCATAGCCCAAATAAATAGTTTAAATACCCTACAAAAAAAATAACCCTTTATGAAGTTGTCAAAAAAAAACGTTACGGCAGTTTTTTTATATGCACAAATCTCTTTCATAAAATAAAATAAAAAAATAAATAAATCTCCATAGACACGCATACCAGACTAGGGTTAATACATCTTCCGTTTCAAATTTAGACACCCCTACCTTTCCCTATCTTGACATCTATGAAAGTAACTTTATACTGATACTTATTATTAACACCCAACACATGCCTACCCAATTTAAACAATTCGCCGTAGCTGTTACCATGGAAATTTTGATTTCAATTATTAAAACACGTAAATTTCAGAAATACGTTATTCCAAAAATAATTTTGCTTGAAGATGTAACAGAGCTTACTTTAACTCAATTTAATTCAAATAATTATATTGAAGTTTTCAGCTCATGTTTTGAAACATGAGACCTCTTATGTCGCGAGTTGGAATCATCTTTTTAAATAAATAATTATATATATATATATATATATATATATATATATATATAAAAACAAGTATATGTATTAAACAACAAAATTTACAATGGACATAGACATTAACATTTGTGTTTGTGTGTGAACGTAAAGAGTTTGTATTTTGGTGAATGTTCGTACGTACATACATGTATGTGTGTATAATGTTCATGGTGTCTCCAATGGGAACACATAATCTTCTGCGAGAGCTTACATTGTAGATGTGTTTGCTGAAAATGAAGAAATAAAAAAGAGTATTTCCCTCACCCCCATGCAAGGTAGGAAGCAGCACAAGCCCTGAAGAAAAGAAAATGAGGCAAGAAGTCACCCAGTATTTATAGTGTAGGGAGAGTGACCCCTAGTGAATAGTTAGGAAATTAAGGAGGATTTAACTCCATCAGGTCCAACTTTTGAAATAGCTAACCAACAACCATCACTTCTACTCACACTTTCCACCTGTTTACTTGCTTCCCTGATAACTACGGCTATCAAAAATTTAAATGCAACATCAATTGCCATCTTCTGTCTTCTTGAAGCCTATTCATTTTTCTCCTTTCCTCAGTCCTCCCTATTCTCAGTCTTTGTTTTCACTTTCACTCCCCTGTGCGCTAGTAGCATTTTCATTTTGCTTAGGGTGAAATGATTTTTTTTAAAAAATATAAGATATCTGTGTACAGTTGAGCATGATACATTGTGTCATCTTACTAAATCTCTGATGCTTGGAGGAGAATTCATTTCACTTCCAAAGATCATTATCTTTAAGTTTTGATCTTCCAGAGCAAAGCTTATCGGAATGATCACAGTCACCCTTTTGAAACTTTCCAATTTGTTTGAGAGATGTGTACTATTCAACATGATGCATCATGACTTCTGATAAGGATTCACTTCAACAACTGCCTTCCAAAGATCATTATCTTATTCTTCCAGAGAAAAGCTTATCAGAATGATCAGAGTCATCCATAGTATTTATGCACTATACATTGGTACATAACACAAATAATTTCATTATTTACATGTGGACTATTAGTCCTCATTTTTGTTATCACAAGGTTTCAGTCATTGTTCTTTCCAGCCTTCATTCAGTTATTGCTCATCCCATCTCCACTGAGGCCAAGTACTCACTGCTTGACCTACGATTACTTTGAACTCACAAATGAATGCTTTAATCAACTAGGCTATTAACCTGTAGGACAATTCTGTATAGAAAACCTGGAGGCTTAAACCTAACCTGCCTGCTGATGAGTGCTCATAATGAATCTTCTCTTTTGTTACAGCTGTTGCTGTTGACTATCTGTCATATGTCTTTCTTTCTTTCTTTATTAGCGGTTACCATATTGTAGTTATTTATGTGACTGAGCATATACACTGATTCTTTTACATGTCAAACTCTCCACTGTTCTTCTCTGATCAGTACTTTCCATTCATTTCACAGGAATTGATGACTACCATTTTCATCCATACATGATCAGCCATGCCTGATTCCATTGTCTCACCTCTCATTATGGCTTTTTGATGTTTTTCCAGCTTTACTTTTAGGTTATTGCTGATTTAATCTTTATATTGTTTTCTAAATATTTTCATTTTCTTTGTTACATTATTACACACTACATACAAATGGCAAAGATGAGACTCATTAAAATATTTATCTCCTATTAGGGCTAATACTAATATAAATTATAAATGACACACAACAATGGAGAAAAGTTGTCCAATTAAATCTCATTGCTTATGGTTTAAACCTAGATTTTGCTTTTTCATTGGTTGGTTCCAAATTTGCATAATTTGAATATCATATAATTTTTTGAAACTGCTAATATATTTACACAGTGTGCTGAAAAGATCTTGTTCCTAATCTCTTCCAAAAGTCTTATCACATGGTCAACTCTACATGTTCTTGAAAAAATTATTTCGGTTGAGCTCTTGGGGAGAAAAAGTGAATTTGTAAACAGTGACTATTACTGCTACTGATGCAAGACTCTTCGTAAAGACAAATCACTTTCTCTGGTCACAGGCATGTTTGTCTAAAAATAAATACATCTAAATTTACCTTCATCCCTGCTGTGCTAGCTTAGGGTTAAAATCTCTGACTGATACCAAATCAGTTGGGTTTTGATCCTGACTTGAGGCAAGCAGATATCTAGCCACATTGATGTGCTGTGTAACAGTCTCTCTGTGGCTGACAATATATATATATATATATATATATATATAGAGAGAGAGAGAGAGAGAGAGAGAGAGAGAGAGTATAAAGGAAGAGAAAGTGAAGAAGGAAGAAATGAAGAGATAACAGTAAAACTAAAATAGAATGAGTTGGCCAAAAATTTTTTTCCTTATGGAATTGAAAATTTATATATCAGGTGGTGTGTGATCAGATTTGAAAGAAATACAGCAAATTGACTGATATGACCTGATGTTTTAGACAGGTTTTTCCAGACGAGTATAATTACTTATATTTATATTATTATTATATATATATATAGTATTGGTAATAATGCCAGTTATAACTATCAAGCACATAATAAGAAAAAAGAGTACATTAGCTCAAAACCAATGATAAAATAGGTATGATTGACTCTGAAGGCTGATCAACTTTGAACTGTGCAAATGATAAGGATTTAAACTTGCAGGTAAAAGGTATATGCAGAAATCACAACATGGCTTCAAGAATAAAAAAAAAATAATAATTTCCTTTGCAATTTAAAAATTTAAACAGATCATTCAGCCCATGCTCAAAGGCCTGATGTCATTCATGTAAACAGGAAGAAAACCTGTCAAAAATTGGATCTTGCAGTTTAGGAGATCACAGAATAAATTTAAAAGTTATAAAAAATTCTAGATGTTACTAGAGAATTGAAAAATTGTCAAACATGAAAGTGGTAGTTGTGCCCGTCATTGTTGGAGTACTTGGAAGAGTCCTAAATAAATTAGCAAAAATGTTGGAAGAAATACAAATCTGGAGATGAATCAAAACCATCAAGATAACAGTAAGTTAAGTTATTTCTTTTCCATTTTCTTTGTTTCTTTTTTCTTCTCACTTTCTCTTTTTTTTCCATTTTTGAACAGTATGATCATCTTTTCTTAATTGTTTCTCTTTATTTAGTTTTTTTCTTCCTTTTTATCTGCTTTCTTCACATGAATTCATTATTTTTCTCCTTATTTTCTTCTTCCATCTTTTTTTCCTCTCTCTTTTTCTTCCTCCATTTTTGAAGGGCATTATCATCATCTTCATTGAATCTTTTTCCTTTTTCTTTTATTCCTTTTTCCTTCCTTTTTTCTTTCTTTATTTTCTTCTCTTTTTTCTTCACACTAATTTATCTTTTTACTTCTTTTTTTTTCCTTGTTTTCTTCTTTCTTCCTTCATTCTCTCTCCTCTCTTTTTTGCTCTCCCTTTTTTCGTTTCTCAAATAGAATTATCACTTTCATGGTTTTTTTACTTTTTTCTTAGTTTTTCTTCTTTTTCTTTTCTTTTTTCTTCACACCAATTGACTATCGTTTTTCTTATTTTCTTCTTTTATTTTAAATCTTTTCTCACTCTCCTATTTTTATTTCTGATTCTTTCTAGATATATATTTCTTTATTTTTTTTTCTTTCTCTTTATTTTTATTCTTCCCTTTCTGCTTTTATCCTTTCTTTTCCTCATTCTGTTCACTTTGTTCCAATTTCCAGAAAGAATCCATCAGGTTTTTCTGACAGTCTTCTTTCTGACCACACTAATGCTAACCATTTGTCTTGAAAATTGATGTACAAATCATGGGATGAAATAGCATTAAAATGGTCTTTGGATTCTTGCCAGGACCAACAGACCCAAGTCAAAAGTTACGTAAACTTGAAGTTTGTCATTTGGAGAATTTTTTTTTCCTTTTTTTTTTTTTGTAGTGTGGGGGGAAGTTAGGACAATAAGAATACATTTAAATGCCAATCTGAAAAACTTTAAAAAAATAAAAATAGATGAGAGGTATATAACCAAAATAGTTGCTTCACCAAAATAAAAGGGTTTTCTTTCCAGGATCTAACCTCCCATTAAAAAGGGCATCAAGGTGAGCTGACAAAAGAACAGGTCATTATCTGCATACAGATTTACTCTTTGGTTATAAGATGATATTATAAAAGAAAATATTTGAATATCTTTTTACTAACGGCCATCTCCCTCTAGAGTCAGGGTTATCAAAGAAGTTTTACTACCATAAGATTAGCTCAATAAATCAGTAGCCTGACACATATTTATTAGCCGAATTTTGATCAGAAATGTTCATCCTATATGGTTATTATTCGTCTTTAAATTAAGTGCATTAACAAATTGGATTATGCTGGAAAATAAATATTTATTGTGCAAAATAAACATTTTTTCCATATTAAGCTAAAGAATTATGGATATATCTTCATACAGTGAGTAGGGTCTTTGTTGGAACTCAGCCCTGAAGTCTTTTGTCATACTACACTGAATTTTAAAATACCAATATCTGAGTAATTGCCATGTACCCCGTTACTACTGGAAAGGGTTCAACTTTGACAAAATTCTTGAGATTTAAAGCTTTAAGTCACACTAATCTAAACTTAAAATATATCAATAATTCTCAGTAGGAAAAGAAAGAAGGAAAAAGTGCCTCAATAAGTAGTAATGGTTAACAAGCTAACCTAAAGACCTAAAGTTTAAAAAGAGTTTGAGCCTGACAGAATGACTTAAAGTTGTTGCCTTGTATTAAACTAAGCTAGTAATATGGATTAATGATCTATGAGCAATTTTTAGAATTTGTTACAAATGAAATGACCTTGATCCAGACTGGATTCAAAACAATTTTGTGTTTATTGTAATGTTATGCTAAGTTTTGCATATTTCAGTGAAATATACAGTGGGGAAAATAAGTATTTCATCCACTGTTGATTTTCTGAGTTTGCCACTTTACAAAAATGGGAACGGTCTATAATTTTCAGGGTAGGTCCCTCTTGAAAGTGAGAGATAAAATGTAAAAAAATTCTAGAAAATCACATTATATTCATTTTTCAACATTTACTTCTTTTTGTGACCAGGAGGCATATAGACTAGTCCTATTACTCAATTATTACTCTTAATGAAGTACTCATTATCTTTATAAAAGACACTAGTTCACAGAATCCTTCAATGAATCAGAATCTAATCTCTCCATAATGGGCCAGATGAAAGAATAGTATAAGGACACCTGGGACAAAATTGTATACCTGCATAAGACTGGAATAAAAAGGAAATAAATATTCAAAAATTAATATAATGTGATTTTCTAGAATTTTTTTTTTTTTTTTATATTTTATCTCTCACTTTCAAGATGGACCTACTCTGAAAATTATAGACCATTACCATTTTTGTAAGGTGGCAAACTCAGAAAAACAGCAGGAGATGAAATACTTATTTTCCCCACTGTAAGAAAATGAGGTGCCTCTTTTTGGAGTTGTGTTCAGCAAGGTTGAGGTGTACAGACAATTTTGTCTTTAACAAAAAATGACAATTATATCTTCTTTTTTGTGCCACCTGCCATCAGCAATCATGGCTACTCACACTTTCATATCTCTTTTAGACCTTAGCAGTTCTTCTCCATTTGCTGTGGCATCCCCGTTTCATCATTCATTCACACAAGGTCATCAATTGTGGCTCACTGCCTTGCCTGATCTCTCTTTTACCCTCAATATGGAGAGTTAAGTTTTCCAAGCCCTCCTTCCTCATTATGTGTCCAAGGAATTTCAGCTGTCTTTTATTGATTCTGAATATGTGTTCTATCTGTTATCATTGTTGTCATTTTCTTTAAGGCTTCCTTGTTGCTAAATTTGCTCCATATATTATTTTCATTCAATAGCAAGGTGTCTCCAATGACTGGCCTCTACTCAAACTTTGATGTGTACATTTCCTACATAACCCTATGAGTTCCTAGTGCTATATTTTACATGATGCTAACTGTAGTATTTCATGAAAATGAAACTCATCACCCAAGTAGTAGCTATCAAGACTCATCTACTCAATATAAATTCACAACTGAGTTTCACTGAGTTCTGCAAGATGAGCCAGATAAGCAAGTTTATCATCTAAATTCTGATTAATATATCATGTTACAGAATTAGACTGAAAATAGGATGAAAACAGAGTGTTTTTTGGATCTGTCTATATTTTTGAGATGAGGTATCATGTACACTATTTACATTATTCGAACTATTGTCCTCATCTTTGTTGCCATATTTATCACAATATTTCATCTGGAGAAGAAGGCTGGAGCATACAACAACCGAAACGTTGTGATAAATATGACAACAAAGATGAGGACAATAGTTCGAATAATGTAAATAGTGTTTTTTTTTTTTTTTAAGACACTGGAACAAGAAATATAATATATATGCTCATAATGATATCAGAGAGAGCAATACAAATACGATAAATGCATTTGGTGATCTATTTGAACTATGAGGAAAACTTTATTTATTTGGAAAGGATATTAGAATAAGTCAATTAAGTACACAGAAATAGAAAGCGGCCTAAGACAAGGATGTGTTTTCTCACCAAATTTATTAAACTTCTACGATGAAGCTATCCTAAGTCGTACCAGGATTTATTATTGGTGGACAATGTTAACAATGTAAGATAGGCAGATGACACCATGTTGATGACAAATGCAGAAAGAAAACTGTAGGAATTCTTACACTGAGTAGTAATGGAAAGCAAGAAGAAAGGACTATCAAAGATGTGGTCTACAATTTGAAGATATCAGAATCAAATAATCAAAAATACAAAACCAAAATTTGTGGGCACATTAGTTTAGCACAAGATGCTTTCCAAAAATGAAACCAAATATGAAATAGGAAAAATTTTTTCAAAACAAAGAAGAGTGTTGAACTACTATGCAATATCAATCCTCCTATATGTCAGTGAATGCTGGATATTTTCTTCACAGATTAAGAGGATACTTGAGGTAATAGAGATGTGGTTATACAGAAGGATGATGAGACTACCATGAACTGAACATGCAATTAATGAGGAAGTTTTAAGAAAAATGGAAACAAAAACATCACTTAGAATCAGAAAGAAATAGTTGAAAATCCTTGGACACATAATGAGGAAAGAGGGCTTAGAGAATTTGACACTCGAAAGAAATAAGAAATAAAAGAGGTACAGAAAGAAACAGCAAGTAATCTAATGAGCTTGAGTAAATGGTAATGGTAATAACTATTTCCTTATCAGGAAACATTTTAAATTTATTGACTGAACAGACATTACTATTTTCACTGATATTTATTAAATCTTTTTATTAAAAGAAATTTTTTTCAGGAAAATAGGTTTCTCAAGTCTAATAGATATTATCGCTCTTTCCAATATTGATGTGAGTTTCCTTCCTAACCTTTTGTCAAAGGTAGTGTGGAATGTCAACATCTTGATTATGCCATTATTTTCTCTTGGAATTACATGTGCTATCCAGTTTAGTTGTTGCTGCTGTTGAAAATCCTCAAGTGATGCAGTTTCTGTTATTTGGTACAGGTTTTGTTTGTGATTCTGCATCACCAATTCGCAAGATCTGAAGAAGGATGATCTCGCCATTGATTTGTGCTACATCATTATTGTTTATATGAATGGTAATGGTAATATTAACTGTTTCCTTAGAAGGAAATATTTAGCATTCATTGACCAAGCAGCCAAACAAACAATTTTTCAACAAAATAGCTTTCTCAAATCCAATGTTATTGACGTTATTTCCAGTGTTGATGGAAGCATCTTTCCTAACCGCTTGTCTGAAGTAGTGTGGAATGTCAACATCTTGATTATGTCATCATTTTCTCTTTAAGTTACATGTGCTATCCATTTTAATTGTTGTTGCTGTTGGTAGTCCTCAAGTGATGTGGTTTCTGTTATTTGGTACAGTTCTTTGCTTGTGATTCAGTAGTACCAGTCCATAAGGTTCAATGACGGATGGTCCTCTCTAAGACCTACATGCTTCATTTGCTCAAAGCTATTTTTAACCATTGATCTTACAAAGCAGTTGCACATAGCTGACAGTTTAGATATTTCTGAATATGAAGGCCTTAATCTAATGAGGATATTTAAGAACATGCTTCACGTTTTCAGGTTAATGTTTTGGTTTTGTAGCAATTTGTGTTGTTGTGTAAAATTACCGCTAATGCAACCTATTTTATATTCAATTTCTTTATCCCCTATACTAAATTTGTTATAACTGATCCATACATTAAGGCATTTGAAGTGTGTAGTATTTACCAATTCCACAGAGTTTTAGAGAAATTGGAAACAAAAAGGACATTTTTACTTAACATCAGAAAGAGACTGTTAAAATTTATAGGACACATAATGAGGAAAGAGGGCTTAGAAAATTTAACACACACAGGATATAGTGAAAGCAGAAGGGATAGAGTAAAACAAAATATAACCTACCTAGAGAAATTGTAAATTGTTGGCAGAACAAAGTTTAGGACAAGCTTTACTAACAGCTACAAAAGAGTTGAAATTGGGGAGAGCCATGTTTTCCCATGTCCTGAAGGTACATGGCACATGGAAGAAGAAATTGGTGTTATTGCAATTTTGATTTGTTTTTCGATACTTCCATTTTTATTATGACAGTAACAACCAACATATTAAAACCAAAAAATGTTAACATAAATATTTTATTTTGCATGCGGATCATTCCCTACAGTGAAAAGCTACATCAATTTGCCA